TATCATCCTGACATGCGTGCCCGACTACTCGGAATGGTTTCGGACTCTGCCCCGCAACGAGCCGAAGAAGAGCTACATCATGCTTTTCGGCTACATGGCCCACATCTCCCTCGAAAGTGCTTTGCCCACCAAAAAGGTCCCGGTGCTCACCAAGTTTTTCCAGGACCGGTGGCGAAAGTACGGCTGTAGATTGGGTGGCGCCTTGGATGCTCCTGACCACAAGGACACCTCGATCCTTGCTTGGATGCTCAACAAGCAGGCCGTCTACTGGAGCTTGGACGTGGATGCGAAGGTTTTGCACTGCTTGGATTCCGAGCTCGAGTTGCCGGACAGCATGAAGGGCTTGGGAGCCGAGCTCAGGAAGGTCCACATCGAGGAGCCTTTGGATTGCTACAAGGCTGAGCTCGTCATCACCGGGATGAAGCGTTCATGCATCGAGCTGTGGGAGACGGAAAAGCGCGGACTTGCAGACCTGGACCTTCCATGGTACAAGAAAGAAGTGCCACTGGAGGCTGATGATGGGGACTCGCAGTCCCAGCCCTCCGAGTCCCAGCCCTCTGCGGGTGTTTTGAAATAGTGTGTGGGTTGCTGCCGTGGGGTCTCCCATAATAATAACTACTTAGCAGTAGCCGTAGCTCGGACAGGCTGTTGGAAATAATAGGCGTTTCCGATGGATCTGGGGGGCTCTTGACATGACAATGTCAATCTGGGCAGCAGGGGCTTGCCAGGCGTGCGGTGCAAAGCATTGCATGGCTACTGGCGTGGGCATTGTGAGATGAAATCATTAATGTCCAGTCGTGTTTTCTTTTGGTCCATGTCTCCTGTGCTTGCTGCAGCAAGTCCCATGCATTGCGGCGAGTCCAGAAGAAGGCTCAAGATCGCAACATCCGTCAGTCAAGGCTGGGATTGAAGCATGCGAGTGCGTGTTAAACAGTGAGCCAGAGCATGTCGCGATTGTCGTGTGGAATGTTTGGTAGATCGGGTGCTACTTGTAGCAGTATCATGCCTTTACTTATTCACCATTCACTCATTCATTCACTCACTCTCTCCTCCCTCCCTTGTCCCTCCCTCCCTCCCTCCCTCCCTCCCTCCCTCACTCCCGCACTTACTCCCTCACTCCCTCCCTCACTCCCGCACTTACTCCCTCTCTCACTCCCTCACTCCCGCACTTACTCCCTCTCTCACTCCCTCACTCCCGCACTTTAATCACGGTATGACTAGCGAGAGTGAGTGTCAGAGTGTTTGAGTGAGCGATTGAGTGAGTGAGGCAGAGAGTGAGCGAGCGAGTGAGCGAGGGAGCGAGTGACTGAGCGAGCGAGGGAGGGTGGCAGGGAGCGTGTGTGGGAATGTGGGGAGGAGTGAGAGAGTGACTGAGTGAGTGCGTGAATGAATGAATGAATGAGTGAGTCAGGGGAGCGAACGAGTGAGTGAGTGAGTGAGCGAGCGAGCGAGGGAGGGAGGAAGGGTGGGAGTGTGGGAATGAGTGAGAGAGTGAGTGAGTGAGTGAGCGAGTGCGTGAGACAATTACTGGTTCAGTCATGCAGGTACATGTTCAGTCACATGTCGTACTGCATTGGTTGTGCTCCGACTGCTGGTGAATGATCTGAATGCACAGTCTGCACCGTGCTTGATCCTTGCGTGCAGCCCTGAAACACTTATCGATGCCTTGCTCGTTGAAGGCTTCAGTCCAACGGCCTGAGGCTCTTTGTTTGTGCGTGGGTCCCGAAAGCTGCCAATGGTCGCTGCATCACGATTGCGATTGAACTCCACCGACAAAAAGGGCAAGAACATCGTGAAAAAGGATCGTGCGGAGAAGCTCGAGGAGAAGATCCAGGCTACGAATGAAGATGCCATCCAGCTCATCGCGACCAGGAATCTGGAGAAGATCATAGCAGTTCTCACGGAACGGCCCAAGATTGCATCTCACATCTTGAGCCTCATCGAGATGGGTGCCTACGATTCCATTGACAAGGTCGCGGCGACCACCGAGGCTGAAGAGAAGCTGCCTCCATCGTGCAACAAGGTGGCTCTGCTGTCAAAGAAGGTCATCACGGATATCATCCTGACATGCCTGCCCCACTGCTCGGAATGGTTTCGGACTCTGCCCCGCAACGAGCCGAAGAAGAGCTACGTCGTGCTGTTCGGCTACATGGCCCACATCTCCCTGGAAAGTGCAGTGCCCAGCAAGAAAATCCCGGTGCTCACTAAGTTTTTCCAAGAGCGGTGGCGAAAGTACGGCTGTAGATTGGGTGGCGACGATGATGCTCCTGACCACAAGGACACCTCGATCCTGGCTTGGATGCTCAACAAGCAGGCCGTCTACTGGAAGGTGGACCTCGAAAGGAAGGTTCTCACCTACTTGGTGGATGCGGAGGTCGAGTTGCCGGACAACACCAAGGGCTTGGGTGACGAGCTCAAGAAGCTCTACATCGAGGAGGCCTTTGATGTCCAGAAGGCTGAGCTCGTCATCACCGGGATGAAGCGTTCCTGCATCGAGCTGTGGGAGACAGAGAAGCGGGGACTTCGAGGCTTAGATCTTCCTTTCTTCAGAAAGGAGGTCGACAACAACTTGGAGTCTGATGCTGATGTGAAGCCGCTTCTCATGAGACCAGCCGGTGACGGACATGCTGATGTGAAGCCGCAGCTCGTGCTACCAGCCGGTGACGGACATGCTGCTGATGTGAAGCCGCAACTCGTGCTACCAGCCGGTGACGGAAATGCCGTTGTGAACTGAGAGTCGTCTGTAATTCGGTGTCTTAGCACAGGGTGCCGAACATCGCTGTGCGGGTTGGGCAAGCTTCCTTAGAGATGCTTGCAGTGTGCAGTGCTGAACAAGCAACGTGGTGCGGGGACTCATGCCGGCTGACTTTTCATTTTCGACTTCGTCAGGGGATTCCGGCTCTGTGAAAAGGCTGCAAGCGTATGCTGCTCGGCCCTGCTTAACCCGTGCTAACCCCTTAAAGGCCCAACTCTAAACCCACAGTATTTTCACCTCGGTATCTGCTTAACCCTTATAAACCCGTAAACTTTACAGACTAGGTCCCTAAATAATGTTCCGCCTCAGATCTGCTCAACAGCTGCCCTCAACTCTGCACCCGAAGACCTTGAATAATTTTGCCAACCCTTCTAAACCACTGAAGTCTCAACCCTCAGTCCCTAAATGACGTTCCAGCTTAGTGTTTGCTTAACCTTTGTTGTAAGTCCTAAACCCCAAATCCTAAGTCCCCAAAAAATCTCCAGCGCAGGGTCTGCTGAACAGCTGTCAACTCCTAAAACTTAACCTTTGGACCCTAAATTAATGGTTTTCAAGCTCAGTGTCTGCTTATCCAGTTTAAGCCCTCAAACTCGGAAGTCCCTCAATCATTCTCCGATTCAGTGGCTGCTGAACCTTTGCAAACCCCTGAAATCTAAGCCCGAAGTCCGTAAATAGTTTCCTAGCTCACTGTCTGCTTAACCCGTCTAAACCCGTAAACTCCAAACCCCAGGTCCCTAAACAGTGCTCCACCTCAGGGTCTGCTTAACCTGTGTAAGCCCCTAAACTCGAAGTCCCTAAATACATTTGCGTTCAGTGACTGTTGAACCCTTGTAAACCACCAAACCCTAAACCCCAAGTCCCTGGAGGACTTTCTAGCTCAGTGTCTGCTTAATTTCTATAAGCAAACCCCTAAACACGAAACCCTAAGTCCTTAAATACCTTTCCCGCTCAGGGTCTGCTTAACCCGCACAAAAGCATGAACTCTACACCCGAAGACCCTAAATCATTTGGCAGTTCAGTGGCTGCTCAACCCCTGTAATTTGGAATTACACTGCTCAATAAAGGCTGTGAGCACGGGCCATTCGTGTTATTCCTTGGTGTTTTGCTAGGAGTTAATTTCGGCTAAGACCCAGATCCACATCTTCGAATCGTAAGCTGCATAGAACAAGATTTCATTCGCGAGTAGATTCCTGGTTCGAACATATCGTTTTCTTTGGTTTGCAACTCCCATGAACGATGAGTCGAGCTCTCCATGGTATGTCCTGGCATTTTGACACAGAGCTGGGAAATTATTTAGGTACTTAGGGTTTAGAGCCTAGGGTTATTCTCGTGAGATTCCACCCAAGCATAGTCAACCCTGCTTCGTCTCCGTTGAAATGCTTCCGTAGGTCCGGTATGTTGAGATGCCCTTGTGACAGCTTTGCTAGCCCCAGTTCACCAAAACGGAGGTTTTTCCGACAGTAGACCGTATATCCTCTACACAATCATCATCAGTAGCCTGAAGCCTTAACCAATGAAACGACTCATGTTTCTTGAAGTTCACACGTTCGTCCTGTAGTATTCTATCGGCCATGGTTGCTTGTTTGGTTTTTGCACATCGTGTTATAGCTTGACCTCGCCACACCGGTTGATCCAGAACCCCTTCTAAGAGGGGGCGTGCCTTCTAAGACATTCTTGTTGAACGGCCGGGGTTCTTAGACCGGTTGCCTGGGGGGTCTATACCTGGGGCCCCTGTAGCATCAAGTATGGACGAACTTCCTTGCGTTTCTTGAAGTCCGGC